ATAATAATAATAATAATAATAATAATAATAATAATAATAATAATAATAATAATAATAATAAGAAGAAGAAGAAGAAGAAGAAGAAGAAGAAGAAGAAGAAGAAGAAGAAGAATAGTAGTAATAATAATGTTATTATTATTATTATTATTATTGTTATTATTATAACAAAATATAAAATTATAGAAAATAATATATATAATAAAAATATTATATATAATATTTTTAATTTATATATAATAATAACTACTTATTATAATTCTTATTTTTTTAAATATCAAATAAAAATATTTTTTTATTTTTATAAAACATTTTTCTCAAGTCGAACTTGAGCTTACAAGCTTTTGACTCGAGCCGAGCTCGAATAGCGCTATTCGGCTCGGCTCAGTTCGGCTCAAATCCACCCCTAGTTGAAACATCAACGATCAGCCTCCATACTCTCCTCTTTATTTCTGAGTATAAATAAACTCCTATTTAAAAACTCAAAACAAGTTGTAATTGATCAATCAAACCCCATTGGATTTAATCTCTAATGAGATTAAAATCCAACACTATCCACTGGTGCACTTTGTTGGGCCACTCAAACTCAGTTCGTCTCTCTTGTGGGGTCTTTGAAAGAATTGATATGAAGAGCATAAAGAGAAAGGAAAAAGTTAAGACCAAGGACAACAAGCTTAAGTAAAAGAATATTCACTCATTTTCTTTTGTTTTCTTAGCAGTTGTTTGGTATCGCTGTCGTTTCCTGGAGCAACGACGCCACATTAGCGTCACATTGGAAAAAATGGTGCTCCATGAAACAGGCATTTGTTTGGAACCATTTTTCCATAAAAAACGGTGCTCCAAGCCATGCATCGGAAATCGGGAAGCCATGGCTTGGGGCAACGCCAAAGTTGGTGTTTCTTGGAGCTGCAGTTCGTTGCTTCCAATAGGGTAGTGATGTGGCAATGGATAATGGGCACCAGTGCTGAAAACGTTTCCTAGAGCAATGGTACCAAACAGAAAAAAGTTGTTGTTGCTCCAAAAAACGTCTTACCTGATAGCAACGATTCCAAACAAAAATAAAGGCACCGTTTTCTAACTCCAAGCCACACATCAGTAGCACCGTTGATAAAAACGAAAATAAGAAAAAATACGGGAGAAGTGGGGAATTCAATTTACCCTCCCCTTATACCAAAATTGGTAGTACTATTCATGTCTTCTTTCATTATCGGCCATTCATTCTCCCTCTCATTTCCAATATTATGGTTTAGGAAATTGATGGTCTCTTCTTCATCCAATGCACTATCTCCCTATCCAGTGAATATTTATTAAGAACTGCTTCCATCATCGAGCTGTGCAAAACACTTGGGGAGATTTTAAATTACCACCATACCCTGTCCTTTTGCCCTACTATTTAGAGGTGTAAATTGGGCTATATCGCCTACGGCCTAGCACAAACTTTGACTGGCCTGGCATGGTCCAATATGACGGTCCATGGGCCGTGCTAGGCCTGGCACGATCATGCGGGCCGTGTTGGTCCTGGGGTTTTAGGTCCACGGGCCGATATAGCATACCAGCCCACAGCTCGGCCAAGCACGGCCTATATATATTATATATATTTTTATGTATTTTTATATATATTTATATATATTTATATAATATTATATAATAATATATAGTATATAATATATTAATAAAATAAATATTTTTTTTAATTTTATTATACTAATTTATTTAATTATTGTATATATAAGCAATTGTATACACAAAATTCATATAAAATTAAAATTTTAAGTTTTTTGTCAATTTTGTTTAAATAAATAAATTTGGCCCGATGAATGGCCCGACCTGGTCCAAGGCTCAGCCCACGGGCCTGGGCCTTGGACCTTCCAAAATTTTCACCGGAGAGGGCGGCATGGCCCGTAACAACCTGCGGGCTAGCACAGCACGGCCTGCACTTTACACAGGCCACCCATGAGTCGTGCCATGCCGGCCCGGCATGGCCCACTTTACACTTCTACTGCTATTCTTGTATCCCTCTTAATTACAAAATTCCTATAGCTTTCAAGGAATCCTAACCAAAAACATAAGCAAAAACATGAAACATTTCAAACTTGGTGGCCATTAAATTCAAATCCATTTGAAACCAACAAAGTTTAAGATATTTAATGGCTGAAATTAATCACCTTGAAGATTAATTAGTTAATTCAATTTTTATACAAACTAATTAGATCGTTCAGTCATCATCAACCCTTTTTTTAGGTAAAATGCTTTGGATTAATCAATACAAATTGGTGAGAGTATATCACATATGACGAAATGTCAATTTGATGTTTCTATAAATAACCTCACACACGTAAACAGTCTTAAACAATATTTGTATGCCAATTTGTATTGGTCAATCCAAAACGTTTGAAGTA